GCCTCCAGGGTCACGTCACTTCATTAACCTGCGTGTAGCAAATAAAACATACTACACGCTCAGCGTTGAAGCTGAGTAAGCATATCTAATGCATCGAACATCCATATAAACTGAATCTAAATTCATAATCAAATCATTTGATATCATGCACATAATGTTCAGTTCAGATAATCAATAATTATTAAAAATTATTCATCATGCATTATTCAACATTTATATTCACATTCAATGTTCATCAGTCATTCATAATAGTTGCAATATTCAATTCAATATTCATCATTCAATATTTAATAATTGCAATATTCAATTCAATATTCATCATTCAATATTTACTCATATTCAATATTCAATATTCAACATTCAACAATATCCTTAAACTATTCTTAGTCTAAGGCCAATCACTTTAATATTTGTCAACCCTTAAACAAATTCTAGTTTAAATAATTAAACTATATATTCCAGTATAAAATATTCCTAAATAATCCTTAAGCTAGGCCTAGTTTAAGATAAAAGGGTTTTGAAAATCTTAAACTTACCTTCACTTAAGGCCAACCAAAAACCGACAGCGTAGTGTTCACTGTTGGGTGGGTGGTACCCCTAAACGAGTAGGTACTCAATTTTGGTTCCTGGATCCCGTACGTACGTTTTAACTCTAGCCACCGGGGTTCATACCCGCAAGGCCTAACTTAAATAGGTATATCTTAGAGGTCTTCTAGATACCTTTCAAATCAACATTATTATAGGTATATCTTAGAGGTCTTCTAGATACCTTTCAAATCAACATTAATATGGGTATATCTTAGAGGTCTTCTAGATACCCTTAACAATACATTTTATTTTCACAATCATCAATATATTCATTATGATTTAATCATTCACAATTATCATTTTTAATCAGAATATTCATCAAGATTCAATCATCATAATAATCAATCATTAATCATTACCATAATCATCAATCAACATAATATTCAATAATATTTAGCGGCCTAGCTTCGAGTGTTAACACCCTAACTTACCGTCATGCATCACATAACATTTTTATTTGTTAAAAACATCATTTTTATTATGGTAAATCATTTTTCCAATGATCATAATAAATTGGTGGATTTTAGAGCATATATTTTCCGAATATTTTTGGAACAGGATCTGGACTTAAGAAAAATCGATTTTTATTTTTAAAAATAATCAATTAATACCTAAAAATCGATTTTTATATTTAAAATAATCCATTAATAGCTAAAAATCGATTTTTATATTTTAAATAATCAATTAATTGCTAAAAATCGATTTTTATATTTTAAATAATCAATTAATTGCTAAAAATCGATTTTTATATTTTAAATAATCAATTAATTGCTAAAAATCGATTTGTATATTTTAAATAATC